GGCACTATTTTTTATAAGCAATTTTGTAGAATCCTCTGTTGAGGTTGCAATCAACTTACACCCCTGAGTGTTTTTGTATACTTAACCATTGAGCTGGGTATCCCGAGAGAGTAAAACCTACTTCTGTGAGGTGTAATAAGTATTCAGCATCTAATATTAAGTAATTTATATTATTACATTCATCATTATTATCACTGTTATTGTCACCCCATACTAATTTAATTCTTCCTAATTAAATCTAAATACTAGATTCTACTTTTACTCTTTTAAATTTATATAGTTCATTTTGATACATTTGGTGATATGTTGAGCTCTTGTGGAATTTTCTTTTTAATCTAACATAGTTAGCTGTTTTTAGCCACCTGCACATGCAAGAACGTGGATCCCACACAGGACAAAGTTAGGTGACACAACCATATAGCAACCCCCTGAAAATCCTGCTATTTAATAAATTAATCTACACTATTCAGTTTGTTCACCAAGTCATATAACTGCCTATTTTTTCTTCCATTCAGCTCATATTTTTTTCATGAGGCTACCACAGTAGCTTTATTAAATGCTATCCTAAAGTTAGCATGCACAATGTCTAGCACAACCAAGAATATATTTTTTGCCTCTAGTTGGAATTAATTTCTCATAATCTCTCTTGATACTCAACTATATCTCTATGGAAGCCTCCACTTAAACAAAGCAAACTGAGCTCAACTTGGCCTTTGTTTATGTTAGTAAAAGAACTGTGCTTCCTCTGATTTCAGTTTAAATACAAACAAGGCTACCAAAAGCAACTTGGCCACCATATTGGATTCCGAAGTGTACAAGATGACCCAAAGCTTGTGTTGTCCATGAATGTTGCCAAAATGCAGAGTGAAAGAGAATATAAGAAGGACTTTGAGAAGTGGAAAACCAAGTTCAGCAGCCCAGTGGACATGCTGGGAGTGGTACTGGCTAAGAAATGTCAGGCTTTGGTTAGTGATGTGGACTACAAGAACTATTTACATCAATGGACATGTCTGCCTGATCAGAATGATGTTATTCATGCTAAAAAAGCTTATGAACTACAAAGCGAGGTCAGTTTCTATTAAATCCAATAGTTTATGTATTACTTCATATTTTTGGTTCTGTTTTGTTTTCAGCAGCTGGTCGTTACAGGGATCTGAACCCTTGACCTTGGTATTATAACACCACGCTCTGAAGAATGGAGCTAACTAGCCAGCCCTACTACTGCATATTTCATATGAGTAGCCATTTAATTTCAAAGAAGCAGAAACTAGAAAGTTGAATTAGTATTGAAAATCTAAAACACATCTATTTGCAATGCATAGAATCACTTGAGTCAAGGGTCCCAACGAATATGGAATTTTGATGGTTTGTATTGTCTTTTCACAGAATATTTATAAGTCTGACCTTGAGTGGCTGAAAGGGATAGGATGGAGTCCTCTTGGTTCTTTGGAGGCAGAAAAGAACAAGCGGTCTTCAGAAATCATCAGTGAGAAGAAATATCGTCAGCCTCCAGACAAAAACAAGTTCACCAGCATTCCTGATGCCATGGACATAGTTCTGGCAAAGACAAATGCCAAAAATAGGAGTGATGTGAGTAACTTTTTGAAAATAAATAAAATGATTATAGCGCCTGCTACATGGTAGTTGCTCTATAGCATTTGCTTAATAAATGAGTAGCATTGCAAAGCATTGCATCACACAACACAACATAATGTTTTGTATTGGGTTCCTTTAATTAGCAACCACCCTACACTGAGTCCTGTAAAAATGGGTTAGTATTGATTTTTGTCACCTGAAGGTTATTTTTCTTAGTTAACCAGAATGTAATGTGAAAATGAGTGAATGTACTTTTTTTTTTCTTTGAAACTTGAGTGCATGGAAGGCCAGATTTTTTGTTGGGGTAGAGTGTATGAGGGGGAAGGATTCTGAGTACCTTACACAGGCATAGTGAGTATGTTACAGAGAGTATATTTTCTGCCAAATGATTACAATGCATTTAGTCTAGTTGAATCAAGATAAATTAATAATTCTATGTCATAGTAAATACGTATATATTCCATCTTGAATTTATTTTCTCCTCCAGCACTGACACTAGTGTCTGACACATAATAGGTGCTCCATAAATATTTATTGAATAAAACAAATGAAAGAGATCAGAGTAGAGCAGAGAAGATAAAGATTAATCGTTACTACTCAGCTAAAAGCCTAACCCTGAACATTATAGAAAGTTGAAGTATGTGCACTGAAATTCTGGAAGGGGTAAGATAGTTTAAATAGATAATAATAACCATCTGAGTCTTAGGAGGATCTAAATATATATACATATATATACACTCAATATATATATAATCTGCTATATATTTCACATATATAGTATAAGTTTTTATGTAATATGTACATAAGTTCATAATCAGGTTAGAATAGCATTCATAAATTGTAGCTCCTCTTTCTGACCAATACCTCATAGACTTTTTGCAATTTTGATTTCCAAAACTTACAGTAAATGCTGACCTGTCAGCTTTATTATGAATGTATAAGTACTCATTTATTCCTTTTTTGTTTTTATGATGGCAGTTTGAATCCAACTAACTGATGAATAAAGCAACAAATTTATGCAAAATATTTTCCCCTTTTTGGAATCCAAGTTTCTTTTCTCTCCATAAAACAGGAGAGAAAAAGCTCTGAACTCATAAGGCAACCAAGAGAGAATGCCGGATCATAAAATTTATCAACATAAATGTTCCAGGACAGAACTCCCCAGCAGTGTGCCCTAGTTACAAAAAGGCTGAAATACTGATCTTCTCAGTCCTCTGGACAGCCAGGCAGAGCCTGGGCCAGCTGGGGTCCTTGAGCTGCTGTCTCTCCTCTTGAACAGACCTTTGCATCTATCTCAGTATTAACTATATTAGCATTTTCTTTGTGTTTCATGGGGTGAAAGTGGCACACACCATTGAAAAAATGGTGTAGCTTAGTGGTTCTTAACCAGGGACAATTTTGTCCCACAGGGGATATTTGGCAACATCTAGAAACATTTTTGGTTGGCACAACTTGGGGGTGGGTTGCTACTGGCATCTAGTGGATAGAAGCCAGGGATGCTACTAAACATCTCACAATGCACAGGACAGCTCCCCACAGCAAAGAATCATCCAGTATTTGATGCCAACAGTGCGGAGTTTGAGAAACTCTGGTCTTACTTAATCAGAAAGGTTAGTGCAGAACTGGGATAAATGTATGTGGAAATTAACAAACCTTGCTTTGTTTTGGCCCTGATGGTCTTAATTGGCATTTCTGGGTTATATAGACTTCAGTAAGCATGTTCAGGAAGCAGAAAAGTGCAGCCCCACAACTCCACATACCTCACATTCCTATGCCTTAAGGGAAATTGACAATTCCAAGAAGCTAATAAGACTTTAAAATTTTTTATGTTGAAATAATTTCAGACATACAGAAAAGTTGCAAAAATACTAAAAATTTTATATATGTGTATGTGTATATAAATAGATGTGTGTGTGTATATGGATATGTGTGTGTGTGTATATATATATATATAT